GCCTCTCTTGGTCTGAACAATACTCTTGGTTCAATGGGAGCTCTTGGTTAATCGGGGATCTTGGTCCTATTGGTGCTGATGGACTCTATGTCTCTGGGAACAGCTTTTAGTCTGGTGGCCTCTATCCCAGGGAGCAGCTGCAGTCTCAGATGGTGGGTGGCTTTGGGAGGGGTGGGGCTTGTAGGTTACAGGGTCTGGTGGGGATGGTGGTATTCCAACCTGTCTGCAGGAGATGTGTCTGCTGGCCTGAAACTGGGACTGCAATGGGTGATGGCATGGGGGTGCGTGGTTCTTTTCCTAGGCCCTAAGCCTAGAGACAGGGATATTTGTCTATGAGAACAAAGACTCACCACTTAGTCCAATCAGCTGGTGGGTTCTCCGGAATATGCTTTCTTGATGACAGTCCTACATCTTTCTCCTAGGAGGCTCATTGGTACGCCCGGCCAGTAAGGACCTAGAACACCAGGTCCTAGGACCTCTGACCCTCTGGGTCAAGTCCATTACTGGACCCCCACCATTGGAGCTCACTTGCAGGAGGAGACTTTCACAAGTCTCTGAAGCTATCCCCCCTATTTCTTGAGGTGAGTGGAATACTTGAATTATCGTCTGAACCATGGCCCCCACCTCCGACTCATGCCTAGACAGCTCTAGGAGTCTGCAGTTGCAGATGCTGGAGGTGGATGTTAGAGACCTTACATTCCTGGGAGGGGACCGGAGAAGACTTGGAAGGAAGATGGTTCTACAGTCACAGACCCCAGTCATACAAGGAGTACTTCCTGTGCTAGCCACGGGGAGAAGTCTTGGATGGACCAAGAGGAGTGGAAGTCAAAGATGAGGGCCAAACATCATGTGCTTAAGGGGGTGGTGGCCTGAGATGCCACCACTCAGGAAGCTCACGATAATTTACTGTTTAGAGATGAGCCTGGGAAACATAAGATGTCCCAGGCTGGCCTGGACCTCGGCAGTGGAGGAGAAAGAGTGCTGAGGAGATGGCTTATTGGGTAAGACCTTGCCAGCCAGCAGAGGATCTGAGTTTGAGGCCCAACAATACAGGCAAAATTGAGGGAGTAGCATAGGTCATACTCAAGGGATTTCTGTGGCCACCTGGGAGGCAGAGCTGATACAAAGAGTCCAGAAATTCATAGGGCAGCAGGTTGGGGGAGCACAATAGAGAAAAGGCACTGTTTCAAAAAGGTGGAAGGCTGGGACCACATCCTATGATGCCTGGTTCCCTCCAAATACTTGCAAGAGACATGTTGAGCCTGCTCACAGGCCAGTGTGTGTGTGTCCAGTCTACAGGAGACAGAGAGGGAAGTGCAAACAGTGACATGAAGCAGAGTAAGTGGACATTCTGAAGGAGAGCCTCTGATGGCACTTCATGGTTTTATAAATCACGTTGGATGGCTCACTGTAGGGACTCACTGTCTCACCAAGGAGGACTTTCAACTGCTCTGTCAGCTGCCTCCAGCCTTGGGAGAGCCAGGATCACTGCCTGAGTTATCACATGGCTTTCGTTGCTGACAAGGGAGCCGATGCCTTCCTGCATGCGAGACTGGCACTCGGCCAACTGAATTTATTCCCTATTAACCATGCACATAACTTTATTAAACGTATTTGTATCACATGGATTGTGTGACTTGTACACCCAGCCACGGTATAGCATCACACACGGGCATGGGTCTGAGGACAACTTGTGGGTATCATTTCTCTCCTCCCATGTGGGTCCTGAGATCTGGATAGTTCACTCCAGTCCTTGGACTGGCACATAGGCCTGTGTCCACTGAACCCCTCAACCATCCTTAATTTACTCTCTTAATGACAGTCCCTCGTCTTTGCTCTTAGGACACTCGCCAGTGTGCCTGGCCAGTAGGGACCTACAACAACAGGTCCCAGGACCACTGACCCTCTGGGTCAAGTCCACTTCTGGCCTTGCCCCACACCCATTGGAGTTCCCCTGCTGGAGAATTCTCCAAAGCCTCTGAAGTTATTCCACCTATTGCTTGAGGTGAGTTAGAAACATGGCTTATCTTTGTCCTGTAGCCCCTGTCTGAGACACCAGCAGGGCACTAGGGTGAAGGTGTAGGAGGTAGAATGTTAAAGACCTTAACAGCCCCTGGTGGCACCTGAAGCATCCTTGGATGGATGTTGCACATATTTTCCCATATCCCACCTAGTGAGGGGATTAACCACGAGATTAAGTGGCCAAAAGAGGAAAAGTAGCACAGAGTGGTATGAGCATGTAATCCCAGTACTGAAGAGGCTCTCGAGGTGTATTATGAATTTTCTGATCATTTTGGGAAAGATAGAATGGTCCAGGATACCGTGTACATTCAAAACTGTGGTATGGAGAGTTCAGAGATGATGTGATGCTTTCCCAGTGATAAGGAGCATGTGGACCTCTCTTTGGGTCCCAAGAACACATATCAGAGCTGAAGGCAAACACCTCAGGACTCCTATCATGGCTGTAGTAAGATGGTAGGCAGAGCTAGGCAACAAGCTTGAAGTTCCTGGACCAGCTAGCCAGCTCTG